AGCCGCCCCTGCCGCCCGGGGGCGCGGCCGAGCCGCTGGCCGCCGCCCAGCCCGACATCGTGGCGGCCTACCGGCTGCAGAAGGAGCGCGACTTCGAGGACCCCTACAGCGGCCCGCCGCCCGCCGCCGCCCCCGACGGGCCCCGCTACGTCTCGCCCAAGCACCGGCTCATCAAGGTGGAGGCGGTGGAGAAGGTGCCCGCCAGCCCCTCGCCGCCGCCGCCGGTGCCGGCGCCCCCCAGCTCGCCCCCGGCCGGTCCCGAAGCGCCCGACGAGCCGCCGCAGGAGGTGAGTGACCGCACACGGGGCCGCGGTGCTCTGCCCGCGGAACCCCGCCACTTGCGATGTCCCGAGTGACCGCGCCGGGGGCTCCCTGCCGGGAGGAGCAGGAGCAGGACCCTGGGGGCAGGTGGAGCCTGAGCCCCTCGGTCACGGAGATGGCCTCGGTGGTCCCGCCAGACTCTTGGCATCCGCAGTAAGGGGCAGGGTTAGATCCTGGAGCCCCGAGGGGGGGCACGGGCAGGCTCCGCGGGGCTCCGTGCCGCGTTCCCCTGTGCCCCGGCCGCACCGGCATGCCGGGCACTCGTCAGCGGGAACGGGGGCGGCCCCGGCATCTCCTGCGGCTCCCGCGGGAGGCAGGTATGATCCCCAGCGGGAAGCGCGCTCGCAGGGGAGCACAGCGCTGTCTGCCGTGCCCTCCGACGCTGGGGCCGTGACCCTGGGCCTCCCAGCGCTCCGTGCCCGGCGGATCTCCCTCTGCCCGCCTGCCCGGGCTGCCCGTGCCGGCGGCGGCGGCCGGACCCCCAGAGATGCCGTGCTGCTTTGTCAGGGAGCCTCAGCGCCTCTTTGTCTGCCGCCCCCCCCCGCCAGCTTCTCCAGGGTTGAGAGCAGAGCCTGGAGCTCTGCTGCTGGCAAGGAGGCGAGAAACATCCCCGGTGAGAGGCAGGGGCTGGGCAGGAGCTCCCCATGGGGAGACGGGCTCAGAGCGGAGGATGGAGGATGAGCCCGAGCGGGGCTGCGGCCGTTGGTGCCGGGCCTCCCTTTGGAGGAGAGGCTGATGCGGGGACTGCGCAAATAAAGGCAGAGGGGGTAATTAGTGCCCGCTGGCGCTGCCGCCTGCAAGACGGGGCTTGTCAGGCGAACTCGACGGGATTGCAGATCTGGCTGGCGGAGGGAATCGCGGATGCAGTCAGTGATGCCATCCGTGGTCCTGGCACTGCCGGGCGGCACAATGAAATGAGCACCGGGAAGAATCTGCTAGAGAATGTTTTAAGCAGATAGAAAAACTTGTTGCTGGTGGATCTTGGGAAGTTGCCTTACTGACTTATTGCTTTTAGGAGATTTCTCGAGTGGCCCAGCAGAGCTCCCCCTTTGAGCTGGGTAAGCTGGCTGCTGCGGGCAGCAGAGGGGGATGAGGAGGGTGGCACTGGTAGTAGGGACCAAAGGAGCCACCGTGGTGCTGTGGTTTGCTGAGGCAGTCTGGATGGTTTTTCCTCTGGAATATGTGTTGCAGGATCAGAGCAGGAGCATGTGGACTCGTGCTGTGATGTGCAAAGGGCTGAGCCAGAGCTGTGGGAAGCAGGGACTGCTGACAGATACAGCCAGGCTGTTTGGGGATCCAAAGGCTGGGGAGAATCTGAGAAGTTTGGAGAAAAGTCAGAAGCTGGGATGCATTTGGGGAAACTGTGCTCAAACCGCGCTAGGCTGAAGACCCTTCATTTTTCAAGATAGGCAGTGATTAGATTACTGATGGTCTTGCATGCCACTGTAGGGAGGAGACTTCTAATTCTTTAGGGCTCTGGTATGTGATGGACACAGAGCTCCAGTGCCTGGGCAAAACCAGAGTAAAAGTGGGAATATTTGATAGTGCTTGCAGCTGTCCATTAATACAGTTTTCCTGGAGGAGCCAGGGAACATCCACCATGTAGAGCAACTGTGTTGGGCTGAAAAGCCCTTTGCAGCTCTCATCTACTGGGCTGAGCAGTGGGAGGGTTCCCCAGCTCCTCCAACATCATGGTGGCTCTTTTGGAAGGTGGCGCAGGAGGATGGAAGTGCCTGCTGGGGGGTTACTTCTGCTTGTGACCCTTACTCTGGGTGATGTCAAGCTGTCCTGGAACAGGGAAGGGATACTGGAGCTGGGCTGGAGCCTGTGCTGAGATGATGGTTGTGCAGGGGGCTCAGTGTGCACAGACTTAGGAAGAGGCACTGTTCCCTACGTGCTGCAGGGACTGAGACTACAGACCTCTTGGGTTGTGGTGATGCTGGAGGTTAAAGGAGAAGTACAATTCTGTGTACAGACAAAGCTGCTGGAGCAGAGAGGGTTTTTGTTAAGGACTGATGGGGAAAATCACTCCAGTAAAATATGCAGCCCTTCCAAGAGAGGATGATTAGGATGGAGACAAGTGGAAAGAGCAGTCACTGGTTCCTGATTGTGTGGTTTGGCTGAGCCCATGTGGTTTGTTGTGGCTGGGGGCTGTCTGTGCTCCCTGGGCACCCTGTGCCTGCTGTAGCTGTCATGCTTCTTCTGGAGAATGGAAAGGGCAGGAACATCTTGGTGCAGGAATCATTCCTGCCTATGCTGCACGATGCTTTGCTGCTGTAGCACGAGCTGTCACATCTTTGCACCTTCTCTGGAATCTGCAGCATCCTGTGGGGATGCATTAGAGCGAGCTCTGCAGTGGCTGGTGCTGCTTTCCAAGCTCTGCTGGAAATGGTGTGGACAGCAATGTCCTCCTCAGTCTGCTTGGTGTGCCAGGCCTTCCCACAGCAGTGGACAATGGCCTGGCCCTGTGCTGTTCACCTGAGCCAGGTGGATATTCTGGAGGTGTCTTCCCTGCTGTGTTTGGATTAGGGACAAGAAGCAACGCCACTGGGATGCAGTGGGAGAGATGCGCTGCTCCTGCCTGCACCCAGGACAAGCTTGAGGTGGCCTTGGGGAGTGCCTGAGGACATCTTTGTCCTGTGCCCACTGGGAGCAGTCCCTGCTGCTCTTGGAGTGCAGGGTCAGTGCCGCAGGGTGTGGGAACAGGCGGTCAGGAAGCTCTTGGGTGTGTGTCCTTCCTGCGAGAGCCTCCTCCATCTGAGTCATCTTACGCGCTGCCGGTGCTGCGCTGTCGGTGCCTGTGCCCTCCTCCTGTGCCCCGGGTGCAGCCCTGGGCTCCCTGCCCAGCCCAGCTGTCCCCTGTGGGCCGTGCACCAGACCCTTCCTGGAAGGTCAGCACTGTGCTTGCTTTTGGGTTTGGCTTCAGTGTCTGCCAAAAGCCGAGCTGCCAGATGTGTAAAACTGAAAGAATTTTGCACCTGATGGAGGTTGCTCAATTTACCAATCTTCTGAGGAGACCCGAATGTGCTTTACCTCCAGGGCAGGAAGCTCATTTTTAAGGTGGAGGATCTCCCCGGGAATCCTCTGCAAACCTCTGTGTAGAGTGAAACATCTTGTTGTAGCTGAAGGTGGTGGCAGGTAGAATGTTTCTGAGCAAGATGGGACAAAGAACCCCAGCTCTGCCCTGGGATTTTGGTGTCTGAACTGTGAATGCTCTTGAAGAGCTGGGATCTGTCACCTTCACTGGTGGGCAGCATAAAAGCTGTGTGACTGTGAGAACCCAGTGATGATTTGGTTCTTTGCATTAAATTTGTTTTGATTTTCTTCTTTTCCCCTTACTTGCTAGCATGTATAATAGAGTGAGACCAGCCTCAGTGCTGCAGCAGAGATCTGGGTGTGCATTGCTGTGGCAGATAAACATGTGAAAAACACTCGTGCTCAAGCAGGATACGTGTCCAGGTGCCAGTGGTGCTTGGCTGCTCCCTGAAGGACTGGAGCTGCCCTGGAATGGTGGCTTTTGCTCTGCACCCAAATTATTTCAAATCTAGCAAAGCTTGTGCTGTGTATAAGCAGGCGATGCCTCCACAGCCGTGTGGTGGGATCGGCCGGCAGTGAGCAGCTCCCTCAGCAGCATGGAACATGAGCAAAGCATGGAAATGCCTGGCCTTGGAGCAAACTGGGGGGGCTTAGGGCACCCCTGGGAGCTGCCCTGCCAGTGTCTGTGGCCCCCTCCCGCTCTTGGGAGCAGCAGTTTGCACTGTGGCTGCTGCTGAGAGCCCTGCATGGCTCATAAAGTCCAGTACTCACATCAGGAAATGTCAGAGATTCAGTTTCCTGGGCAACCGTAATACAGCCCCATGTGCAAGGGCATTGGGATGTGCCCAGTAATTGATCCCTGCTGTTTGCCCCATTCCTGGCACTGGCTGGAGGCTGCAGCCCCTCAGTCTTGGGGCTTGAGGCACCATTCTCGTGGGCTCGCTTGTCCACCCCAAGGTTGTGATGCTCCTGGAGGTGGTAATTGCCTCCCCACCTTCTCTGTAGTTGTCTTCCCACCTGTTCTGGCTCTCTGCTGTCGTATCAAACAATTTGAAAAACAAATGGATTTAAGTTCTCATCACCCTACAGTTGGGAGACCTTGTTCCTATGAAGTGGCATCCTTGAGGCAGTGGAAAAGCAAACCAGTGTGGCAAATTCCCCCAAATCCAAGGAGCTTCCTTCTAATCAGAGCCATTTGCTCTGGGTCTGTGCTGAACTCAGCAAATCACATCCTCTCCCAACAAATTCCATCTAATCTTTGCTGAGTGCCTCTGCAAACTTCTGCAGGCAAAATAACCAGTTTTAGGGGTCTTGACAGAGACCTCTTAGGATTCTCCACCATCCTCTGCTTTCTCGACCTGGAAGCATCTGTATGGGAGCCACTCTGTGAGCCTGCTGGAGCTTGTGCATTCCTCCCTGGGAAGCCAGGCCTAAACACGAGGAAATACATTTGGAAATAAGGTTGGGTTTGATGACCTTTGAGGTCTTTTCCAGTCTTAATGATTCTGTGACAGTGAGCACTGCATGCAGGTTAGCCTCCCAACACTGTCTGAAGCTGCTGTGTATGTATGGAGCAGAGGGAGGGTCCAGGGCTGCCACCAGCAGCAAGGTAGGTCTGTGCCTGTCTAGGAAATGTGGTTCATGGCAGGTTTGGGACTGAGGAACAGACAGCTAACCCCAGGAGGGTCAGCAAACTGCATTTCACAGCCCCTGAGCATGCTTGGAGCCATGAGAGCTCTGCTAAAGTTAGCATTGAGCATGGCACAGCCCATTCACCCACCCTGGCCGTTGGGCTGGTGCATTTGCATGTGCAGGGATGCTGCTGGCATGCCCATGCCTCCATGGTCTTGAGCACATGTGTGAAGATGCTGCTGCTGTCACAGGGCTGTGCTCTGCAGGTGTTGAAGTGCAGCAAGACCCTTTGCAGCTTTTGAGGCAGGGGAGAGGCCAGGGGATGTCCTGGCTGTCTGGAGCAGCTTCACTGATCTCTCAGGCAGCAGTGGGAAGCAGGTCCTGGTTCACCAAAGTCACCAACGACTTGTGTTTGCCCTGGGAAATTTCAGGTGGCAAGCAAAGGGCTGCAGACCCCTGGGCTCACTGCTCCTTTGTGTCCCCCGTGCTTGGCAGGGCCTGAGTGATGCCTGGCACCCCTTGGGTGATAGAGGTGAGAGCAGATTGCCTCTCCCCCTGCAGAGGGGGGGCTGGCTGTGCCCTGCCTGGGGTGGAGCTGGTGCTCTGACACCATCTGTCCTCTGCCACCTGCAGCCCCATGTCTGAACCCTCTTCTGCTCCTGTGGGGCAGCTGGGATGTGGCCTGGGGATGATCACAAGCAAGTGCTTGTGCCCCTGGCATGGGGGGCCAGGCTTGGAGAGCTGACCCTGTTCCCCACGCATCAGCTGCCCATGGAGCTGGGACATTTAGGGAGGAGGTGGTGAGCCAGGCACAGAGAGCCTCGTGTAGCTCACAGGGGTGCCAAGTCTTGGGACTGCATGGAGGTGTTTACAGTTCCAGTTCCTGTTCCCTTTTCCTGCTGGGCTTTCTGTCACAGGCTATTGTTGGGCATCTTGCTCAGGAAGGAGGGAGAAATCTTTTGTTTTAAGCTGATTATTGGAGCTGCAGAGGAATGTGTGAGCAGCCGTGGTCTCGTGGCTGGCCAGGACAGGGCAGCATAGTGGTGAGGATGGAGCTTGGCATCAGGTGGGATCAGGCTGCTGCCACACCATGCTTGGGACATTTGGTCCTTGCTGTGGGACATCTGCAGAGCCCGTTTTGTGGTAGCAAATCCCCCCAAGCTGGGGATTTACATCCTGGTAGGTGACCAGACCCTGCTGAGGTGCTTGGGTACATTTGATTGCTGTGGAAATATTACCTGGTCTTACTTTGGGAGCAGACTTTTGGGCTGGAGGTGGGATGTACAGCTCCAGGCTTCTTGAGGACTGTGGGTCATGTGATGGGGTGCCTTGACTGGGAAGCTGCTGAGATGCTAGAGCAGGTATGTGCCTCCAGAGCTGGAGGGGATTGAGCTCTGGGACATCCCCCATATCCTACTGCAGGATCCTCTCCTTTGCACTAGTAAGCACAAACCTCAGGAATTTAGTGCTGACCTTGTGACATGGCACTTGAGAAACTCCTGGTTCGGCTTCCTGGAGGAAGGTTTTATCTTGTCTTAACTTAGGATGTGTCTGGAGATGCTGTGGTGGCCTGGGAAGGAGTGGAGAGGAAACCATAGGCTATTCTTAGCCCTTTTGTTAGAAAAGCTCTTTGAATGAGTGCACAGGAGCCCTGGAAAATAACCAGTAAGTTCCTAGCTGTGCCAGTGCCAGCTGACACCCCAGTTTTGGGATCTGTGCCCCTTCTCCACCTTGGGAGAGGAAATGTGGCTGTGTGAGGAGAGCATCTGTGTGCCATGGAGGGGTAGAGCAGTGCTGGCAGCCCTGTGCTGCAGTGGGGACCGGGCCAGGGCATGTATGTGGGTGCTGGCAGTTGGGGCCTGATGGTGAGGGAGGGGCAGAGCTGCCTTCTGCTCTGCTTGGCTCCAATCTCAGCTTTCAGGACAAAGGCTGGAGCATTTCCACGGCCGAGTGCTGGTGCCTGGAAAGCTGTCAGCTGCCTGCTGGGCTCTGCAGGGCTGCCACGGTGTGGGTTTGGGTTCTCAGTGGTCACTCTGGCTGCTGCTGGAGGAGCTCATGGTGGGCTCTGCCTTTCACCTCCTAGTAAAGGCAGAGAGTGCCTTAACCCTTTTCCTATTCTTCCCCTTTTCCAGCTGGCTGTTCTGGAGGACTATGCAGATCCCTTTGATGCGGCACAGGTGGCAGGTAGCCAGGCAGGGCTGGAGAAGGTGATGGAGAATGATGGATATATGGAGCCATATGAAGCCCAGAAGATGATGGCTGGTAAGGTGGAAGGCATCACACAAAGGCCACTCTTTACACCTCTGATCCCTGAGTTTGGTGGCCACTGCACTCTGTTCCTTGCAGCCCCCACATAAGGCAAACCTGGGTGATGGTTCTGGTGGGGGACTGCCATTTTGCAGGCAAATTTTCCCAGCTTTATCCTTGTGCACTGGGTTTGCAGGAGCATGCAAAGACTGTCTGAGCACTGCAGGCACATCTCTCCCTGCGATGCTGTCCCCCAGGACCCCAGCTGCTAGGCTGAGTCAGGAGAGACCTGACATTCCATGCATCTGGCTTAAAACTGAGATGGATATGGGAGCTATTTAATTCAGTTAGGACTGGGGCAGAGCATGCTGTGTCTGCTGCAGCAGCAGGGCCCTCAGTGGGCCTGTCTAGGGCTGGAAAGCTGGTGAGCTGGGAGCATGTGCTTCTGAAGGCAGTGCTCAGGGTCACCATGCTGGCTCTGGCTCTGCTCTGCAGCTCTGTGGTTTTCCTGGAGTAAGTGGTTTCTGGAAAGCTTGTGGCTTTTTGAAGTAGTCCATTATATTTCTTGGAAAAACCAGCAAGCAGTGGAGAGACTGCTTGTGCCTGTGGGAGAGACTTTGTTTTGCTTGAGGGAAGGGCGTTTCATTAAACCAACCACTCTGGGTGTCCAGGGGGGAAACCCAGCCTCACTGCCTGCAGGAAATCAGGCTCAGGGTCTGTCCCCACGGACCCCATTTTGCCAGCCTTCCCAGGAGTTGGGGTGTGGGTTGCAGGAAGTCAGGCTCAGGGTACTCTGTCCGCATGGACCCCATTTTGCCAGCCTTCCCAGGAGTTGGGGTGTGGGACTGTGGGGATCTTGGTGCTGTTGAGCAGCTGTCCTGCTCCTGGCAGCTGCTTGCTCTCTCCTCTGCTGCTGCTCCCTACCCCATTTTACCACGGGTGACACTGATCCCTGTCATCTAGCACCGTTTGGGGACCGTGGCTGTGTTGGGCAGGAGGCTGATGGTCTTTTCCCTCTGCTCTGGGCAGAGATCCGCCAGAAGGGCTTGCGGGAGGCTCCCGCCCGACCGCTGCACCTCTACGACACTCCCTACGAGCCCGTGCTGGACATGGACAGTGACTGCCCCAGGCCCAGGGAGTCCCGGCTGCCCGAGGACGACGAGAGGCCACCAGAGGAGTATGACCAGCCCTGGGAATGGAAGAAGGAGCGGATCTCCAAAGCCTTCGCGGGTGAGTGATGGGAGCAGCCATAAAGCAAACTACACTTCTTGTGAAGCTGGATCTTTGGGGTTCCTTCATCTTCTGGGGGTCAGTAATGTCGGTCTCTGCATTTTCATAGCTCAGGGTGTACTTGTGCTCTTGCAGAAGCTGTTTCTGTGAGCAGGGAGCCAGGCTGGACAGAGTGATGGATAGATCTGCCTTGGTAACCTGTCCAACACCTGTGTCCCATTGCCTCTTCCATGCACCAATCACAGCCTGTGGTGCAAATTAACACCCTCAGCCTTGCAGGGGTAGGTTCTACCCTGGACTCGAGCAGGACTCCTTCCTCAGGGCAGGAGGGTACCCAAGGAGCCTTTGTCCAGCCCCCCTGACCTATTTATCCGTGCTGTGGGATCGATTGTGTTTGTGTTTGGTAATGAGGAAATCCATGCTGCGCATTAGCGCTGGCTCCTTGCCGGCGCTGGCTAATTGCTACGCTCTTATCTAGGATGCATTTTAATTGCAGCATTGTGTGTCTGTGCTGCAGCTGGTGCTGAGGGTGCTCAGGCTGGTGGCACTGTGTGGAGAAGATGGCAGAGAGAGATGTGGAAATTTAGGGATGGGGAGTGGTTCACCTATTGGGTTTGGACACTGTGAGCTGGAGATGTGTGTGCTGGGCCCAGTGTCACAGTGTCACTTGTGCTTGGGGTAGCAGGTCCCCACTGTGAGCTGGAGATGTGTGTGCTGGGCCCAGTGTCACAGTGTCACTTGTGCTTGGGGTAGCAGGTCCCACAGCACCCTGTGGGATGTGTGTGCTGGGCCCAGTGTCACAGTGTCACTTGTGCTTGGGGTAGCAGGTCCCACAGCACCCTGTGCCAAGGATTTGGCGTGTCGGGCTCCATCATGGAACACCGTGCTCTGCTGGGCTGGGTTTGTGCTGAGGTGTCTGTGCTCTGGATGGAGCTGCCTTCCTTGGTATCCCTGGGTGGAGGTGGTGTGTTCACAGGTCTGGCTCACCTGTGCGTGCTGCCCAGGGTGCTTCAGGCCTGCTCTGAGTCCTGAGGTTGTCAGGTTGCTGTTCTCTAGGCCACGTGGGACCTGCTGCCTGTCTTTTCTGAAGCCAGAGCAGATCCTGCTGTGTTTCATGGGGTGTTTTTTCTCTTTGGTGATGCCACAATATCTCTGCTGGCCCATTTCCCCTTTGGGGGGTCCATGGGACCCCTGCTGATGGGCAGCTGCCGCTGGCAGGTACCTAGGGCAAGACAGATGCACAGGCAGGACAGATGGCATTGGGATGCTTGGCCAAGACCCCCAGACAAGCAAGTACGTGGAACGGGGTGATTGCAGGCTCCCCCAAACCCCAGAGAGGGTTGGCTGGAAAAACTGATGGAGGAGCAGGGTCTCTCCATTGGGAATGTGCCCCACCTCAGGCCTGTCCCTGCTCGGTGCTGTGGAGGGGATGAGATGGCCAAGCTGATGTAGGGCTCCTGGGAATTTTTTCCTCAGGTCTTTCCTCCCCAACTGCTCTCCTTCTCTGTGGGCCTCTGGTGTCGCTGATGGTTTTTTCTAAACCCTTTCTTTCTCTCTCTTTCTCTCTCTTTCCCACACCCTCCCCACCCCCATCCAGTTGAAATCAAGGTCATTAAAGACCTGCCATGGCCCCCGCCGGTGGGACAGCTGGACAGCAGTGAAAGCCCCCCGGAGGGGGAGGCGGGTGCCCCCACCCCTCCGCAGCACGGCCAGCACAGCTACGAAGACGCCAATGGTGGGTCCTGCGTGACACCGGGGGGTGCAGCCCTGCTTGCTGTGACTCTGGGCCGCTGTGATGCCTTGGGGCAGTGCCAGACACGACCCCCCCTCTGCCCTCCCCCAGCTCCTCCTGGCCCCTTCAGTTGTCGTGTGGTGTTTGTCCTGCTGTACCTTCTGCTGCAAAGAGGCACCAGCTCTTTGGTGCCTCTTTGCTCTCAGCAGCAGAGCTGCTTTGGGGATTATTCCGTGTCGTTACTGTCCCTTTTGTTCTCTCCTCTTTGCCTCCAAATTCCCTACATTTCATGGCTGCTTTTAAGGTCTTCTCAACAACTGCACTGAGTATTTAGCTGATGTTTTCTTTCATTGACTGACTTTTAATGCCCAGGTCCCTTACAGGTGTGTTAGGAGCTAATTCAGATCCCAGTGCTGACGCTGGGGCTGTTTTTCCCCCTCTTCATTATTTAGCACTGCTCCGTTTCCTCTGCTGTTTTATTACCTTGCTGCTTAGTGTCAGGAGGTCCCTGTGGATTCTCCACTCTTGCTTTTGCTATCCTGAGCAGCCAAATCTCCCAGGTACACTTTGTCATCTCAGGTTTGCCTTGCTGTGAAACCTTTTTTGTGTGTGCTGAGCACAGAGCCCCTGGGTAAATCCCCTTTGGATGCTGCTGGCAGTCTCACTTACGAAAACCAAATATTGCTGCTTCTCTTTTAACCCTTTATTAATATTTCAAGGACCTTGCTCTTATGCTGTGTTGAATTAGGATTTTACCAAAAGCATTAGGTGGGGAGAGTTTGTGGAAAGCCATGGCTGGATTGTTTCCAGTGGGGAGCTGGGATGCAAGCTGTGCCTTTTCCTGTGTAGCAGCGTGCAGGGCCTGCCTGTGTGTCACTGACGCTGTCCAGGTGGGCACTCACTGCAGTGCCAGCTGCAGATGTCTGATTTCCTTATCTGCAGCTACCCAGATCCCTGCAGAGCTGCAGAAGATAAAAGCCAGCGTGGCTTTTGCTGCCTCCTGGGTGGGCTGGAGCACAGGCTGCAGGGGATGCCTTATTTTGGTGCTGATGGTGGGGGCACTGGAGAGCAAAGTGGCAGCTCCGCCAGGGCTTTGTTGGGTGTTTCCCAAACCCGTAGGGATGCTGCAGGCTGAGATCAGTCCTCAAGAAGAAAGGTCTTGGCAGGTGGGAATTTTCTGATTCTCTTCCTGCAATGCATGCAGGTGTCAAGAAAAATTAATCTCTTTGTTATGCAGCCTCTTCTTTCCCCCATCATTTATTATCCCCACAGTCACTGACATGCGTCCTGCTCCTGATGAACACATCACTGTCGTTTTTCCTGGTTTTAGCAACACAGAGTCTCTTTTTTTTCCCCTCTGACTTGCCTTGTTTTGTTGTATTAAGTTTATCTTGCCAGAGTTTTGTCTCATTTTCTATTTCCCATGTCTGGGGGTGACTTGAACGTCTTGAAGGATGTCTTCTTCCTCCTAAGGGCTTGTTTTTAATATCCTGTTTAATCATGCACCTGCCTCTGTCTCCCTCTGACAGGTGCAATGCATTTCTTTTGAGCCTGGAATGCAATGACTTTGTGCCGCCAGCAAACACTTGGGCTGTTTGATTGTCTGGCTTTTTAACAATTGCCCCAATTTTTTAAGGTGATGAGTTGAAATTGAAGCCTGTGTGTGATGTACAAGGGCAAGCATGGCTGGTGAAAAGCCAGAGTGCTGCAGAAGCAGGGCTTGTCAAGCCATAATGCCAGGCACCTCCTCCTTGAGCTGTGCTCAGGGTGGTTTATGCCATGCTAAGCTGCAGAGGATTTTAGCTGGGTTTGCTTTTGGCTGCCTTCCCCTCCTTGCAGTGCTGGGGGGGCTGGAGTCCTGCTGACCTGCACAGGGCCTGGACAAGGTATCACTCAAACAGCTTAGAGGATTCCCTGCTAGAGAGGAAAACATCCCTCTGGCTATTTTTTGCCTCCCCATCCAGCAGCCAGGAATCATGGAGAGTTATCCTGTCTGGGGCATTTGAGAAGTCCTAGGGCATTTCTGGGCTGGGCTGCCTCCAGGGTGACTGTGCTGCCACAGTGTCAGCCCCTGGCAGCCCCACGCTGTGGCAGCTCTGCCTGATCAATAAGTAATTTGTGCAAGGGGGTTGGTGGTGCAGGGAGCAATAATGAACTCTTAGGAGGAAGGAGAAGCAATATTGTTAATGCTGAAATCATCCTGCGTGGAAATAACAGGCAGTGGGAGGCCAGGCCCCTGGGACACAGCTTGGTCAATCCCCCGCACTCATGGCTGTGGCTGGGATGGTGACAGGCAGGTGGCACTGTCAGGGAGGTACCTGCAGTCAAAATATCTCCTTCCCACCTCGGGGAGTTGTTTTTTCACCCCCTGTTTATTTGTGCCAGAAGAATGTGTCCATCGGTTCCAAACTGGCAGCTTTCTGTAGCTCCATCTATCTCCTCTTCCTCTTGAATTTGGGGAAGCTCTTCTTTCAGCATCTCACTTAACCCTGTACCACAGCCACTGAATCTATTTTTGCATTAGCAAAACCTCCTGAGCCTTTCAAACCTCCCTGGAAATGTCTTCCATGGGCTCAGCTACTGGCTCCAGGCTGGGCACTGCAATGAGCAGCAGCCCAAGAGCTGCCCTGCCCCTGCTTAGACCAGGGGGATGGGGCAGTGTGAGATGACCCAGTGTGATGTAAGTGGTTCTGGCCCTTCCTGCCAGAGGAAGTTAGGGTCCCAGCCTGTGATGTGTGTCTGTCTTGCAGGTCCCTCGGAGGGGCTGGGGTACGGCCGCACCTCGCCCTGCAGGGAGGAGAAGGCCAGAGCTGTCCTCAGGCATGGCTCCAGCAGCCTCAAGAACACCAAGGCGCTGACAGCTGAGCCTGGCCCCTTTGTCGGGGAGAGGATTGACCCTGCCCTGCCCCTGGAGAGCCAGTGGTGAGTCCTGCCTGCCCAGCATGGCTGCCTGACCCTTCCACCTGCACTGGGGAGCCCTGTGGCCACACCATGAGGATCCCTGGGGCAGACTCGCTTCTTCCTTTCCTCCTTGCCTCCACATTTCAGCCTGTTTATCCCTGCCCCTTGTCTCCCAACCCCAGTGGTGCCACCCCCTTTTCCCTGTGTGTGGCTGCAGTCCCTGGGGAAGTGCTGGCATTGCTGCTGCCCCAGGGCAGAGCCTTTCCCACGGTGTGCTCTGTGCCCAGCACAGCAGAGCCCTCTCCCCCTGCTGCCCCAGGGCAGAGCCCTTGCCATGCTGTGTGCTCTGTGCCCAGCACAGCAGAGCCCTCTCCCTGCAGCTGGTACCACGGGGCCATCAGCCGGACGGACGCGGAGACGCTGCTGCGGCTGTGCAAGGAGGCCAGTTACCTGGTGCGCAACAGCGAGACCAGCAAGAACGACTTCTCCCTCTCCTTGAAGTGAGTGAGCCTGCCAGGCCTGGGGGGGTGTGCACCCACAGCACGTGTGACCCATAGTTAATTGTGCCCGTGCTAATTGGCTGACTGTGAGATGACCACGAGTGGGCAGAAATGGCTGCAGTATGAAGTCCACGCTTTCCTGTGGTGTGGCACAGGTTTGTGGTTTGGTGTCTGGCAAAAGCATCTCTCAAGAAGATCTGGAGGCCCACTGCTCTTCCTTGGCAGTGCTAATAATCCCTCAGATTGATCAAATGGTGTGCCTCACTTCTCAGTCTTATGTGTCTGGTTACAGCTTCCAGCTCGGTTTTCTTCTTCCCCCTTTTCTTTGCAGCTTAGTTTTTTGGGAAGAGAAAGTACACACATACTGTTGATGGAAATGTGGGTACCCATCCTGGCCTCCCCAGCAATGGATCTGTTCCATTGCTCAGCTGTAGAGAGGGCTTTACCCTGCTCTGGTTTGCCAGTAGGGAAACCTCATCCCCACAGCACAGCTTGGTTTTCTGCTTGTGGTTTCTGGGGAATCTTCATATTCTCCCCAAGTTTTCCAGATTCTCTGGATGCCAAAATTGCATGAAGCATTTCTGCATGTGTCCTGACAGGGGGGAACTGCCCACAGCTCCTCATCCAGCTCTGTCCTGGCTCTTGGGGCAGCACAAATCCACAAAATCAAACCTGTTGCTGTCTGAAGATGATGATGGATGAGCAAATACCTTCTTGCTCTTCTGCTGGACAGCTATATTAGCTCTGCTCCTGCCAGATGGGAAATAAGTATTCATTGAGCACTTCAGCTATCCCTGCCCAACAACAGCCTCTTAACCTTGTGCTTCTCTCAGTATACTTTGAGTTTCCCCAGTGGTCTTTCTACCTGCATTGCTCCTAAGGGGTATCAGCCTCTCTGTTTATTTCCCAGTGGCACAATTGTGAATTAGATTGCTCTGTCTCTCTCCACATTTTTTTCACTCTTTTTGTTGCCTTCAGCACCAAACCAGGGCAGGAGCTCCACTGAAAATGCACTTTCTTCCTTCTGCATTTAGAGCTTTCAGATCAGCCAATAAACCCTTCTGGAATAGCTCCCTCCTTTCCCTTTTTTTTGTCAGAATTTTTACTGATGATTTAATTTTTATTGATATTTAAATTTTCTGTGTTTTTTTCCTTGCCCTGGCTTGTGAGCCATTTTGGAGCAACAGCTTCTTCTGGCTGGTGAGCTGCATTTGAAGCTGCTAGAGGTCTCACCATTGCCTTGTGAGTGGCATTAGGCAGTTGTGTGTGTGTTGGAGAGCCTGGGAGGTGGCATTCCATCACCAAAGGTGGCTTTTCATCACCTCTCCACAAGCCAGTCACCTGTTTCTTAGTGGTTTTTCCCTTGCTTCTTGCCATCATCCTTAGTATTGCAACAACATCCTCCTCTCAGAGGGCATGTGTGGCTAGGCCATGGTGTGCAGCAGTATTCCACCTTCTCCAGCCCATCAGGGAATTGCTTGGGCATTGCCTGTCCTTGCAGAGTTTCTGGAGAACCCACAGCCCTGGGAGCAGGATTTTTACTCCACTGCCTTTCTCTGTAGAGCCTGTCCAAGGAAAATCCCCTGGGATGCTTTTATATAGCTGTAAGCTGGCTGTCTGCAGCTCTCTATTATTTTTTTTAAACTATTTTTTTCCTTGAGGAAGGAGGCACAGCCAAGGAGATGGTCTGAAAAACGTTCCAATGCTGACCTAAAGTACTTTGGTGTTGCTTTAAAGGAAAATATGCACAAGGGAGAGCAGCTAGGAGCAGGTCAGGTAGCTGGAAGGATTTAACCCTGCTGTGACAGTCCTGGCTGGTCCAGGTTAGGGAGCCCCATGGACAGGGTCATGTCATTGCCTCAGATGCTGGGAGAGTGAGTCCCTCCTGGCTTGTGCCTCCATGAGAGTGGCTGAGGCCACACTGCCAAGCTTTGTGTCCTTCCTTGTGCCTGCAGAGGTGCTCAGCAGGAGCAGCACCCACCCCTTGTCCTGGCTGCTGGTGTTTGCAGCCTGTTCCCTCAGTCATCTCTCTAGGGCTGTGATCTCATCACATCCCTGAGCTTGTGACAAAGACCTGTGGAGCACTTTGGGCTAAGCACAACCACTATCAGCTCTCCATGGCTCCGTGTGGCAGCGCTCCCGTTCCCTCCCAACTGGGACACAAGACACAGCCAAGCTGTTGCTTTTCCTCAGCCCGTGTTGGGGGGCTGTGGCTGTCTCTCAGGACAGCTGGCTCCTTGCTCCTGTCTCTAAATGGATTGCAAAGCCATTCTGCTAATGCAGCTGGGCTGTCCATTATGGCCCGTCTCCAGCCGGGGGGATGGGGCCGGGCTGTGCAGCCCTCGGAGCAGCTCAGCATCACTGATGAGGTCCTGTCTGCTTTTAAGTCATCAATATTTTGCCGTAATGTGCAATCCAGACGCTGCAGACAGGCTGTGGCTCTCCTCGGAGACGCAAATTAATAGCAACAGGGCCATTAGTCCGTCACTTGGAATCAGTGTTTGTGGCAGGAGCTGCCTGCACAGCCTGGCGTGGCTTGGTGCCCGTGCTGTGCTGGGAAATGGTCTTGCTGTGCTGAGCGGGTTTTATGGAGCCTGCAGCGGTGCCATGGGGAGAGGGGGAAGGAGAAAATCCTTTGGCTGTGGGCCGAAGGAGAAAAACCTGGTTTGCCACGGTGGGGCTGGAGATCTGGAGTCCTGGGAGCTGAGGGGATCTTGTGAGAACCAGAGCAGTTGCAAAAGGGGCTTTGTCACATGCAAGGAGCAAAAGCCACTACCCCTCCATGACCCTACAGCAAGTGCCCCTGCTGCTCTTGCCCAGGGGATGCCTTTCCCTACCACACACACCCTTGGTGGCCCTACACGCCCCACTGCATGGCTGTGATCCCCAAGGGGACACTGTGCAGCATCATTTGCCATGTCCCTCCTTTGATCTGTGGGTTTTTTTGGAGTCAGCCAGGAGCAGGATGGTGCTGGCAGAGCCATGGCTGCAGACAGGAGCCAGCAGTGCCCCCCTCAGCTGCAGGGGCAGGCTGCCTGTGTCAGGAGGGTCAGGAGATGAGGGGAGGCTGGGGCCAGCTCTACCCCCTAACCCTGCCTTGATCTGTCCTTACAGGAGCAGCCAGGGCTTCATGCACATGAAACTGTCGCGGACACAGGAGAACAAGTACGTGCTGGGTCAGCACAGCCCGCCCTTCGACAGCGTGCCGGAGATCATCCATCACTACGCCAGCCGCAAGCTGCCCATCAAGGGGGCCGAGCACATGTCCTTGCTTTACCCGGTGGCTATCCGTACCCTATAGTAATCACCCCCACGAGCCAGGCTCAAGGCTGGGTGCACCCAAAACTGGCCCATCCACAGGGCTGAGCGCTGCCGTGCCAAGGATGGGCCCCAGACCATCAGCCCACGGGCAGCTCGCTGGGCACAGCCGGTGCTGTCGGGGATTGCTGCAGCTGGGCCCCTCGTCCTGCTCTCCCAGGGGCTCCCCTGCACTGGTTTGGTGCTGGCATGGCACTGGAAGGACCCCCTGTGCGAGGAGCTGAGTGGGGCTCGCTGCTGTCCACACCTCCACACCTGCCTCCTTGGCAGAGCTTGGGATGCCAGGACTGGAGCTGGGACCTTGGAGAGTCCAGGGAGGGGGGCAGTGTGTGCGAGTACGGGGGCGAATCATCTGGTAGCAGGCTTGAGGTACCTCCATGAGGGTGCCTAGCTCTGCCCGTGAGAGACAAAATGGCTGTGCTCGCAGGTAAGGAGGCTGGCAGGGGTGAGCAGGACCTGCCTGGGCCAGCAAGGCATGCAGAGTGCCAGGCAGGCTGCCCTTACTGCACCGGTGCTCAGTACTCACTGCCATCCTGTGCCAAACGTGAACAGTGACCGGCCTTGGCCATGTGTGCAGCACCACTGCCTAATAAAGCAGTGCATGGTTGTCTCCTGCTTCATGGGACTGTGTGCCCACATCCCACCCTGAGTGGGGGATCAGTGTAGCAAAACTGTGGAAAGGGAAATTTTGTTACACGAAAGCTTTTAGGGAATTGATTTTCCCTGTGCCGTTGGATACACTGAGATTGGCATGCCCATCCAGCCAGTGTCACCTCTGAGACACAGGGGACAAAGGATGCTGGTGGTCATGTCCTTGCCATGTCTTTGAGACTGTTTGTGGGCAGTCATGAGCTGATTTTGGACTTGCCTGTTACTCCCTGTAGAAGAGGGAGCTCTTTGGGATCTTTTGCCTTCTTGTTTTCCTTCACCTTTCATAAATCTTAGGCAAAGTCCCAGAATTTCACAGAGCTCCTGATCTCCTCTGAGAAGTTACTGGCTCCACTCCTGTTGTTTGTCTTCCTGACACCCTGTCTTTGGGCCAGCTTGCTCCTGTTTTTTTTTTTGGCTGAACCTCTCTCTGGTGCTCTGTACTGTTTCATACATACCTTGCCTTTTAACCTTGTTCCTGGTGTTGCTCCTATACCCATGCACATACATTTCCTCTATCCATGCTTCAGCCTAAGCTCCATCCTGCTGTTACTCCCCAGCAGCACATTCCCTTTCCCTTTCCCCTCTGCTCTCTTTGCTCAGCAAATTCACTACTGGACCAGCAAAACCTTTTCTGTTAGTGGAGCAAAGCCCTTGGGCATGGGGTGAGTTAGCAGTGGCCTAGTGCAGGCTTTGTGAGAAAGCATCATCCTCCCTTCTGCCTGCTGCCAGGAAGAAGCTGTCCCTGCTGGTTGCTGTGGGACACTGAGGTGATTGATGGGACTGTGGGGATTTTGTGTGGGTGGGTGCTGCAGCCACTGCAGGAGCCCTGCTCTGCCATCCGGGGTTTGGGGTTTTTCAGACTCTTAGCTGAGAGACAGCTGTCCTGGCTGCCCTGCACAGTTTTGAGCTGCTGTGGGGCATGGCCAGTGTGGTCTGTGAAGCACCCCGTGGCTGGGAGCTGCAGAAGCCTGGTGGGTTGGTCCAGGATGCCTCAGCCTCTGCCGCTCCTTAAAAGGCGTTGGATTGAGCTGGCCGGTGTCTCCTTACAGCCACTTGGCTGCTGGCAGCTCTGCCTGCCTCTCTCCATCCCAGGGAGGCATTCTGTCCACTGGGCACGGAGGTGACTCCAGTGGGAGGGCTCTTCTCCCAGAGCCTGCAGGAAGGGCTGGAGATGCAGAAATCTGCAGCGATGCTGCTGGGTGCCCTGTCTGTGCTTAGGAGGTTTCAAGTGCCACTTAGCAGCCCTGCTGTGCCCTGATGGCTCCAGTGAGGAGCTCATCCTCTGCCTTCTTGGAAGCTGTGGGTGGGAAAGAGGCTTCCTGTGTCCATGCAGCTCCCCACATAGTGTGGGGCTGTTTTCCTGAGGAGCTGTGGCAGGGAGCAAACTGCCTGGAAGGCAGTGCTGGCTGTGGTGAAATCCTGCTCAAGCAGCCTGGCTCCATCTCAGGAGCATCCCTGCTGAGCACAGGGCTGAGAGGAATGAGACCTGTGGGCATTGCACCAGCTGCCCAGAAGCAGTCATGCACCAGCAGGACTGCCTGCAGCTGGGCTGTGTGTCCAAGTGCTCCAGAAAAATGGCTCTTGGTCGTTGCTGTGGGAATTACATCCCTCCTGAGCCCTTTCTTCTCCAGGCTGAAGAAGTGAAACCTCCTGGTTCTGCCCCCAGCCATCCTCAGCAGGACTCTCTGACTCTCTTCCTCTCTTGATGTACTTGGAAACAGTATCCAGGTGTGGTCTCACCAATGCCAAATAAAGGGAAAAACCTCTTCCTTTGTCCTGACCACCAAAAATAAATATCTCCAGTTCTAGCAGGAGTTTCTCCCAGAAAATTTGAACTTAAGTTCTCTTGAAAGGGTATTTTAGTGCTGCCTTTGCCATCCTGTAACTGAAGTGAGCATTGTTTGGGAATGGGGTGGGTGAGGGCAGGCATCCAATAGGGCTAGAGAGGTGACAGGGGTCCCTATTCATGAGGATGCTAATCCCCAGGAGGGAAAAGGCCATGAACAACCTTATGTGGCTTTAAGGTTAACCCTGTTGGGAGTATAAAGTTAGACCAAAGACCTTTGTTTGTAATAATTCCTAATCCCCTTGTCCCAGCAATGCCCTGTGTGCTCCCAGCTGCCTGTGTTCTGAATCCCTCCTCCCTCTGTCATTCATTGCTGGTCCCCCACAAAGCCCTCCACAATCCCAGGGCTGGTTTAGCATGCTGCAGCTCCTGATAATGGGGAAGGAAGTTTGTTTTGTAATGGGATTAGCACTTGTGGGAACAGCTTGTGCACAGTGTCAGGGCTGAGCTGGTGCAGCCCTGGCCTTGTGCCACTCTGCCTGGTTGTGGGTCAGCTTGGGGCTGTGTTAGCCCTGCTCAGGACTGCCCTGACCAAAATGATGCTCACAGGGCTGTCTCCCATGAAGACAGGCTGGAGGAGTTCAGGCTGTTAAGCCTGGAGAGAACAAGACTCCAGGGAGACCCTAAAGCCCCTTCCAGTGCCCTCAGGGTCTCCAAGAGAACTGGAGGGACTTTGGACAAGGGGGAATGGTTTCAGACTGAAAGAGGGCAGGATAGGCGAGATAAGAAGAAATTCTTGGCTGAGAGGGTGGTGAGGCACTGGCACCAATTGCCCAGAGAAGCTGTGGCTGCCCCTGGATCCCTGGAAGTGTTCCCTGGCCAGGATGGATGGGGCTTGGAGCATCCTGGGATAGTGGAAAGTGTCTGCCCATGGCAGGAGACTGGAACAAGATGATCTTTAAGGTTCTTTCCAACCCAAACCATTCTATGGTTCTATGAAAATATGTAGTTTTGCAGGATGGAGACAACCAAGAGGGATAAAAGACTGATAGAGGGCAGAATTGGAGCTTGCCCACCTGGGAAATGTTCACTGAATTCTGTCCCTAATGTCTCCCACCTGCTAGAAATGAAGCCCTTGGTTAGTGTCAAGCCTCACATCACCCATCCCAGCACAAGTCATCAAGGCTCCCAGGTACCTCCGAGGTTGGAGAGAACCAGAACTGATCCTTGTGGGACTGGGTTAAACCCTCACATTGTCATCCATGACCCCTTCCTACCCCTCTGGCCTGGAGAAGTTCCTTGAAGCCAAGCCTAGTGATTAGTTTGAAACCCCAGCCCTAGCAGGGATGCTTAAGTTACTTGAGTATCCCTGAGAATGCTGTGCCCTGTGTTTTGCCTCCAACCACAGCTACAACCTCCAACTACAGGAGGATCAGATAACAGCTCAGCTGCCAGAGTTTGAGCAAAGGAGAGAAATTTGCTCCTGATCCCTTCAAGTTACTTGAGTATCCCTGAGAATGTGGTGCCCTGTGTTTTGCCTCCAACCACAGCAATCTACAGGAGGATCAGATAACAGCTCAGCTGCCAGAGTTTGAGCAAAGGAGAGAAATTTGCTCCTGATCCCTTCAGGCTGCCAGTGGAATGTGCAGGGTTGCACATACATGGCACACATGTGCACTGGCACAGACATGGCCCAGCTGAATGCCTCCTCTTTAATCTTTTCCTAAAGACCAAATATTTGACCCAAAGGACAAATTTCAACTTCTGACTTGGAGATCACCCTCACTCAGTCCCTTCAGTATGGTTCCCAACATCCTTCCAAACCACTGACTTGCTCCTGGTGTCCTGTTTGGAAATTGTCCCAAGACATCTCTGCTTGGATGCCTCCACCTAATTTTGAGTCTACACCTGTGAGCAGTTCTCTCCTTCTCCTTGCACAATTTTGGAGGCCTGTCTCCAAACCACCATGCTCAGGCACACAGAAGGGGAAATTGCTTTAAGCTAAAAGGAACATCGATTTAGATTAGATACAAGAAGTATTTTACAGTGTGGGTGGTAAAGCCCTGATACAGGCTGCTCAGAGAGGTGGTGAAAGTCCCATGTGTGGAAACATTCAAGGCCAGGTTGGACAGGGCTTGGAGCACCCTGATCTAATTGAAGATGTCCCTGCTCACAATAGGAGGTTGGACTAGATGACCTTCTGACCCAAACCTGGATTCCATGACCTTCCATCTGAGACCATCCCAGTGCCTTGCTAGTGGTGTGGCTGTGTCCCTTCCCAAAACATCCCAGGCAAGTCTGGAGACTGCATCACCTGCACAATGAGGGCTCTTGCATTTGCACTCGACTTCCAGCCTGTCCCAAAGGAAGTGGCACATCATATACCAGAACAGGCAGGAAAGCAAGCACAGGGGTGTTTATCACTCCCCCTGCACCACAGACCCTGCACGCCCTGCTCAGCTGAGGGTCCCTCTGAAAGTCCAGCTGTTGGGACAACCTTAGGCTCTGTGGCATTGGCAGCCCCACAGACAGCACAGTAATTCGTGCTGGCAGCAGCTGCTCCCACTCAAACACAGCAATAATTGTTCTTGCTGGGCTGGTCCTGCTTGGGGCCATAAAGAGCAAGATCCTTCTTTTATCATCATCCATGTCATTCCTGTCTTGGCATGTGCAGTTAATGTCTGTCTGTCAGCAGGGCATCGGGGCACAAGGTCGGGTCACCTTCTGACAGACTCACAGGTTGCTTGGGGTGTGGAGTGGGAGCATCGGTCTCCTGTGGTTTGGTGTAGGGGTGGGATGGGTCTGTCACGCAGTGCTGGGGGGAGGCACTGACCCCTCTGCTCTCCATTAACAGCGCAGCCCCTGTGTGTGCTGGGCCGGGCAACCATCCCTCCCTGATGGCAACAGCTCATTTCCATTTAGATAGAGGAATTTCAATCTCAGTTTGCCAGCTCTTCGCCACGGTGCGACCCAAATATCCTGTTTCCTCCCCCAGATGCTCTCTGGGCTCGGGGGCTGCAGCGCGTTCGGGGGAGCAGCCGCCGGGCCCAGGGCACAGCTGGGCCGAGAACGCGGGTGCTGTGTGGCGGTGCCCGCCCCACACCGCCGCCCCAAACGGCCTGTGGGCTCTGCGGCCTCCGGAGCGGAGGGGCCCGCGGGGAGCCCCAGGGGCGAGTGCGGAGGGCAGCGGGGCGGGTACGGGACACCGGACAGCAGACACCGCACACCGCACACCTCACACCGCACACGGTCGCTAGGCGGGCGCCGCTGCCACCTGCGGGCCGCGCCGGGAGCGGCGGTGCCGCCGGGAGCCGCGGCCGAGCCGTGCGGGGCGGGGCCCGGCGTGAGGAGGCCCGGCCGGGGCGGGGCGGCGCAGCCATGTCGGAGGGCACGGCGGGAATGGCGGCACCCGCGGCGATGGCGGAGGCGCGGCTGCGGCGGAAGCAGCTGCTGAGCGCGGAGGAGGCGGAGCTGTTCGAACTGGCGCAGGCGGCGGGCAGCGGGCTGGACCCGGAGGTGTTCCGGTGAGCGGTGGGGGCGCCCCAGCGGGGGCCGCCGGTGAGGCCGGAGCCCCCTCTGACGGGAGCTCCCGGTGCCGGTGTTCCCCCGCAGGGTGCTGCTGGACCTGCTGCGCATGAACGTGGCGCCGCTCGCCGTGTTCCAGGTGCTGAAGTCGATGTGCGCCGGGCAGCGGCTCCCGCCGGCGGCCGAGAGCAGCCCCGCCGCGCCGGCGCCGATCCCCGCCGACAGCCGAGGTACGCGGCGGGCGGGGGGGCCCGCTCCGTGTGAGCTCCGGGGGCGGCCCGGCCCGGGGGGCCCGCTCCGTGTGAGCCCCGGCCCGGGGGGCCCGGCCCGGGGGGCCCGCTCCGTGTGAGCCCCGGCCCGAGCTCCGTTTGTCTTAATGTTCGTGAGTTTTGGGCAGCGAGGGGCCGGGGGAAGGTTGCTGCAGTACTTGTGTTGCGTTTTGTAGCCTCCTGGCTCTGCTCGCCAAGCCCTTAACAGGAAAAAAACCATGTTAATCTACGGTATTATTCAGTGCTGCTTTGTTTGTATATAACTCAAAAAAGTTAGTTTCCGGGCCTTGAGGAATCCCTGGGAAAGGAGGAAAGCTTCATTTCCTCTGTCCCCATGTGCGTGGTGGCTTCTAACACTCATCCAGCGGTTTCCATCCTCTAGAGATGGTATTTGTGTGGAAAGATGAAGTAGAAGGCTGTCAGCTAAAGCAGTTACTGCTTTTGAATGCATTTATCTCTCCTTACCACTCTAATGTCCATGGACAGTAACAACCATAGTCCTGAACTTGTGCCATACATATATATATATATATATAAAATTTTAAAATTTTATTTTATTCCTAACCAGTTCTAATAAAATTTTTGTTTACTCCCTGAAGTGACTTTTGGCTCACCAACTCTGTGGATTACTTCCAAAGGTTTGAAAATAAGTAACTAAAATAAGTCTGCTGTCACTGAGCCTGGATTCACAGTGGAAAAGTTAATTTCTCTTGTGGTAAATATTTCTGGTATTAGTTTGGCTTTCAGTGGCCAGTTTGGCCAATTGCTGCCTTATTTCCCAGGGTTGAAATATGTCCTTAGTGCAAGTTAATGCACTGGAATTGCTGAAACAGGGAGATTGTGCCCATCAAGCCACAGTTTTGCTGCAGATGTGGTCAGACATTAAATGCTAACCTTGGATTTGCTCTTTTTGCAAACTGTTGCTTGGTAATGGCAATGAAGAGGCACTTGGACCTCCTCTTTCTTTTCACATTCATCCGTGACCAAATTCCAATGAACAGCACTTCTGTACCTTGTCAGAAGGCTTGGTCTTCCCAGGTGTGTCAGATTTTTTGTTTTCTATAAGCTTGTGTTAAAATAGAGCCCTAACTTAGTTGGAATGAAAGCTTCTCTTTTTGGTTTCTGCCAGCCCAGGTGACTTTGCTGTCACACAGCACCCACTGACATCAGCTAATTCCTTTGTGAATAAAATTGTCATTGAAAAACTAATGCTCAGAAAATGCTTTAGGCAGAATTTAAGCTCAGCAGGGGTTTATCACAACTTTAGGCTTGTGTTTTCATTTCTGTGAGTATAAGAAGTGCTGCTGAGATCCTGTCAGTATGAAGGGTGAATTGTGTCCAGTCCTCCTTGTAAGGATCACAGAATGGTTTGGGTTGGAAGGGACCTTAAAGCTCATCTCATTCTATTCCCTGCCATGGTCAGGGACACATTCCACTATCCCAGGTTGCTCCAAGCTCCATCCAGCCTGGCCTTGGACACTTCCAGGGATGGGGCAGCCACAGCTGCTCTGGGCAGTCTGTTCCAGGGCCTCACAACCCTCATAGAAAAGAATTTCTTTCCAATACCTGATCTAAACTTACCATCCTTCAACTTGAAAAAGAATCACTTCTGTTTCACTGAGCTTTCTCACTGTGGGCACAGTCCAGTCCATCCTTCAGGAGTTGGGTAAGTGTCAGTAGGGTGTCTGGGGTGGCCTCTGGGCTGGATCTGTTCTGCAGGACTGTTGGCTTTGCCTTGCCTTGCCTCTTTTCCCTTTAGGAGCTGCTGTAAAGAGGGGGAGCCAAAGTGCTGCCTGCTGTTGGCTCTGCAATCTCTTGTTGGAAGATGCTGCTTCCATTTAGGAAGAGGATGGTGCAGTTCCATGCAGGATCAGGCATTTGCTAGGGGAGATGCCTCTTCTGCATCGCTGGGACTTGTTTGTGTGGTTGCAGCCCAAGCTCTGTGCTTGTGACAAGAGCAGCGACTGTCCTGTGCAAGCTTCTCCAGCTGCTTGGTGCCTTTCAGCTCAGCCCTGCACTCCCTCCCCTGCCAGGAGCAGACAAGAGGCTCAAGCAGTCCTGGTCTCAGCCAGGCCTGCTCTGCTCCACTTGTATCAGTCATGAGATCTGGCTCAGGCTTCCCAGCACATCATGGTGCAGGGGGGCTTTTGGAAACAGCTAAAATAAAGCTGATGCAGCAGTTCTGATCAGCACTATTGCTGGTGGGGGATGCCCTGTAGTTGTTTCAGCATTTGTGCTGATGAAGCATCAGGGAGTTCTGTTCCCACAGAACACAGCCATGGCCTTCTGTGTTGGCTGGTAACTGAGTCCATGACAGCTGCCTGCAAATTGCTGTGTGTGGGTACTGCAGCATCCATCTGGCATATTTAGCTGAGTGCAACTTAATTCAAACTACATTCAAAATGGTCCCTCAGCATTTCATTTGGGAGGGAGAGTGCTGGATTGAAACAGAAATAATTTCCCAGGTGTCCTTTCTGTGTGTGTGAGGGGGAGGATTCTGTTAAGGACAGTGGTGTTGAGTTTGGCCTAGACTAGACATATGTGTAGTTAAGTATCCCATTTTATCACATATTTCTGTGCCTTCTGTTTCCATCAGTCAACCCTCAGGTCCCTGCTGGTTTCCCTGCAGTTTTCTACCTCTCTATACACATGCATATATCAGTGCCCTGCTCTTTTTTTTTAGGCTGATGAATAGTCTTTGATGCTTCTCTCACTCTTTGCACTCCAACCTCTTTTTTCACATTCCTCACTTCCCCAGAGTGTCTTCCCATAAAATTACTTCCCGAAGCTTTGCCCCAGCTAATTTCTCTTCTGAATGTGTTGTTAACATGAGCTTGCTTTTCAAAACCTGTCTCTTGTTGGCCTTATCACTTGGTGTGTGGATTTTAGGGCTGCAAGGAGCTAATTGCACAGGAAGAAAGGAGTTGTGCATAGCAGGGGTCAGGGAATGTTGTCATGCCCAGGGAAACTCACACAAACTCCAGTGCCTGTTGGAAAAAACACTGAGCCCATCACCAGCTATGGGCTCTGTCAGAGGTTCACATGGTGAGTTTTTATGGTCTGTGTGGAAAAATATTCTGTGAACAATCACAAGTCCTTTTCTGCCCCTGCATTTTTTAACCAATTAATTTCTGTGTAAATACTTAGATACAGTCAAGGCCTCAGAATTGTAAGTGTTGCTGTTCAGTTGTTTCATAAATATTCCTCAGTGTATAACAGAGCTTGTTGCCAACTTTGTCCTTCTTGAGTGTTCTGCTTGCCATCTTTGTGGTTTTTTATCCTTCCCTGTTTATCCCTTTTTCTCACTTGTTTCTTTCCCTTTGTGCAGTCTGTGTTTAGCTGTGGCCAGCCTCATGGAGTGGTGACTGTCAGCACTCTTGGGTGCTGCTGGCTGGCCATGCCAGCTTTGCATTGCTCTTCACTCAGCCTTGAGTTATCTCAGGGTTCAACTTGATGTGGGATTTGTAGTGTAGACTTCTGTATTAAGGAGATAAGGATAATGCTGACAAAGAGAACTCTGTGTAAGGCTCTAATATGGCAGAGGGAATCCCCTTGGAGATGCAAAGGATTTATCTTACATTTATTTAATCCAGGGTTTATACATCATACAGTGAATTTTCCTGTGGGTTATACTGGCTGTGCTTTAATTGTAAATTAAATATCCCCATGGGGTCTTAGTGGTGGTGATGTGTGCCTTGCACCTGAAAATATTCCCAGACACTCCTCTCTCCTGTCATGCTTTTCCTGCAGGAGGTTTGCAGGGTTACCTGAGGTTCTGAGCTTTCCTCTCTGCTGGACATTGAGTTAAATGCTGCACTGGCATCATTTTTTCAGTATGTCCTTTCAGGCTGATTATCAAGCTTTTTTTCCCCCCTCTTTTTCATGCTCTGCAAGACAAGACCTGACAGAAGAAAAAGGATTTAGAGGAATATTGTAAATGTCAGATTTGTCGTGTGGTTTTGTTGCACAGTAATGAGATACAAGTTTGAATTATAACTCTGAGTGACAATTCATTTTTTCCCTCCACCCTATCAAAGAAACACTCAAAAAATCAGACTCAATAGAGCTCTCAGAGAAAAGTGAGGGAACTGCATGGGTGTAACATGGGAGGGTGAGTGAATGGCTTTTGTGGGTGCCTAGCATCTGGCCAGTGTCAAACCATGACAGTGACCAAGGAAAATATCAGTGAAATCCTTTTGTTCCTCTGTAGCACCTGAATTACAGCGAGTTTATGTTCATTGAGCTGCTTTTGTGCTTTGTGGTAATTGAATCTGTTATCTCTGATAGTGTAACTGAGAGAAGCACAAACCATGTCTGTCTCTGCACACTTCAGAAGCTGTCCTTGTCTGGTACATGGGTCTGCACAGGCTGCTTCCAAAAATATTCTGGGTATTTATGCAGTTTAATTGGTTTGTTTTACTGTGATTCCAAGGCTAGGGGGATGGAGGGCTTTGAGTGCAGCTTCTCTTCAGTCAAATGATTCTTTCTTCTCATGTTCTTTTGGCCAGGTCAGAACATCAAGGGCCCAATTCCAGTAGTGCTTTAGGGTACCAGTGTGTGTGTGCACACAGCTGGAGTTGTAGGTGGGTTCAGGACCTGCCCTCTCAGCAGACAGATGCCTGTGAGAAAGGGGAGGACACTGGGGACATGTCTAGGGTTGCTAAAAGCATCATGATGAATAATGCTTTTATTCCTGCCAGATTTTCTCTCCAATACTGTGAGATCATGTCTTACCTTTCACAGTGTGTTTGTGTTCATCAACAGCACTTGCTTTAGTGAAGCTGCTGAAAGTGCCTGAGCTACAGCACAGCTGGCAAGGCTGGTTGGCTGACCTGGGATGGTGACTGCTGGCACATCACTGCCATGCTTGACAAGAAGAGAGTTTTTCAAGAGCACCTGACTTGGCTGGGATAAGTGAATGGATTTTTGTGCCACCCAAATTTAATGGATTAATAATGGCCACCTGCTCCTACTTGGAAGTTCTTAGGTTGTCTTTCTGGTGCATCAAGGTGTGAACTGGTAGTTTTGATGTGAGTCCTGTTCCCAGACAGCTGCTCCAAGGAGACAGGATGGTCTGGTGAGTAACTGTGGACTGTCCATAGCACAGATGACCCAAGATAATGTCCATGGAGACTGGAGTGTAGAGCAGCTGTTGATATTGTGCAGGTTGAACGCTGACTAGTTGCCAAAATGTCACTCTTCATTTTAATTGCATGCGTGTAACTACAGCCCACTGTATTCCTGTTTTGTTTCCTCATTGCTATTATTCATTTTTATGGTGCTTCGTGGAGGTTGCCATCTTTAGTAAACGCTGTACATCATGCTCCTTTTATTCTCTTTCCTAAAGTGACTCCTACTTCTCACCTGAGGGAGTGGGAGGAAAAGTCAGTGTCCCTCATCCCCTCCTGACATTTGTGTATACATTCATTTGTGTCACTCTGTCCTCTGACAGGATCCTGTTGCCCCTTGCCTCCCTCAGTTTCTTTGTACCCACTGCTGCTCCCTGCTCACACTCTGCCTCTTAGAGCCCGTCAATTGTGCCTCCAGGAGGGGAACTCTCACCTCCTGAACTCTGTAAGAACATCTGGAAGTCCTGTGTACAAGTCTGAGTTCCTGAAAACCCCAAAAATGACAGGAAATCCAGATCTGCTCACTGAGTGACAGAAGTGATACAGAGAGAGGTGTGTGTGATCTGATGATGTGGCAGCAGTCTCAGACACTGGTGGACACTGGCACATCCTTTCACTTACCCCAGCTCGAGGTGTTGGAAACTCTTGGTGTTCAGCAGTGCTGTTTGCTATGCTGCAATGACTAGAACAATGTGGCTGGTTACTTTGTAGATTAAACCTCATGAAAATTAAAAATGCTTCTACTGTAACCTCTTTGGGTTTAGTGGCACCAATCCCAAATTTCACCAGTTTGCTTTCTGCACTGGATGCTGAAGATGTTTGTGAGATCTGATGGAATTTTGCCTCCTGCATGGTTCCTGAGGGAACGCTTATTTGCTTTCTGCACTGGATGCTGAAGATCTAATGAAATGTGAGATCTGATGGAATTTTGCCTCCTGCATGGTTCCTGAGGGAACGCTTGTGGCTAGCTGCTGTGTGGTGATGCTTGGGCTGGGATGTGAAAACTAATGGATGTATTTGTTTATTCAGGGAGAAATAAAAGCAGCTCTGCTGTCAGTGGGTCACAGATTCTGGCCGAAAGAAGCAGCAGGGAAGGATCTGCCCAGAGGATGCCCCGACAGCCGAGCGCGAGCCGCGCGCAGAAGGCAGGAACCTCTGGGAAGGGCAGCGGGGGAGGCAACAGCACCTAAAAAAGGCCTTAGATGGATTTTGATGCTTGACAATGTATATAAATTGTGCTCGTTAAAGCTGCTTGTGTTGTATGTATTAAACTAAAACCTTGATTTGTAATACAGGGAACAGAGCTGTTGGTTCTTATTTCCAAAACTTCCTTTGGCCACGCAGGCTGCTTGGAAATGTTCCTGCATTTGTCTTGCCCTTTTTCCCCATTTGCCTGTTTACAGCAGTCCAGCACCTATATCTGAAACCACATTGATCCCTCCCAAACATAATCCCACGTTCAGCCCTCCCAGTGGTGCTGGTGTGATTATGCATTTACAAAGCATTACTGCCCCCTTTGCCTCAGGAGCCAGGTCAGATGAGGAGGTTGTGCCAGATAAGGGAGGGAACAGCTCCATCACTTGGGACAAGACACATACAAGTACCTAAAACAGGTGAGTGGGTTTCTTGGAGCTCAGGTGTTACCATGCTTGGTTCCAGAGGGTCTCCAGGCAGTAGGGTGCCTCCTAATGGCTCTGGGAGCTCAGGGGCTGTTGATGAATTCCATGTCCCTAATTAGGAAAAAGTGCTTCCATTTTATGGGAGTTAGATGGTGATTCCTAAACTCAAGATCTAGCTCTCACAGGCCTGCTTCAAAAGGTGCTAAAATGAGATTTGCAGGGTCTGGGTTTCTCCTGCTCTGATAAAATAACAAAGTGCAGCTGCTCCCCTTGGTAAAAGTGAGGTGGAGTTCAGTGGCCTGAGGGGAGGTAGCCAGGCACAAGTTATGGTCACAGTGCTGGGTGTCAGGAGAGCAGACTTTAGCCTCTCCTGCTTGATACAGTCCAATGGGATCAAGCCCTGGAGGGAAGGGGCACCCAAGGAAGAAGGTTGATACTCTAGAATATCAGTGCTCAAGAGTGCTTCCACCTGAGAACCCAGAGCTGCATCCCCTGCCTGAGCTCCAAACACAGCCCTGACATCCATCCCTTCTTGGGGCCACTTCCCTGGCCCCTGTCACCCCCCACCCCTCTCATAACCTCAGCCTTGTTCCCTGCAGGCTCTGCAGGGCTGGAATTGCTGCTGGGAGCTGCACTGAGTTGGGGTTTGGCTGGGGTGCAGCACCTTGGGGCAGGGGCAGCCCTCTGTGGCACTTCAGCTCAATATCCTGGGGGCTGTAGGTCCCCTGAGGTTGCCAGGGACACTGGAAGGGACAGAGCAAGATGTGGGGTATTTGAGGAGTTTTAGGGTCGGCCAGGGCTGCAGGGAACCCTCCTACCCCATGAGACAGCATTAGGTGATATGGTTAAAAGCTCATCTGGAATGAAGACAAGCAGGGGGAGGTGGAGTAGCCCTGGGAAGCTCCACTGTGCCAGGGATTCCCTGTCCCAGCTGCTCCCAGGGCTCTTGTTGGGCTCAGAGGTGGCTCCCAGCCAGAGGGTGAATGGGGCCACTCTGCAGGTCACATCTGGTCCCTCACTAGCAGCAAAGGTCACAGTGTGGGGTACAAGGAAAGAGCATTATCAGATTGTGACTTATGGGATGTTCAGGGGAAGAACAAAAAGTGGGGAAAATGAGGGACCAACGTGGTTTTGGAGAGCCATGAAGTGGGAAAATAGAGGGATAAGGATATGATGGCTTGGGTGGGGTCTAACGCCCTTCTGAGAGGAACAAAAAGTGGGGAAAATGAGGGACCAGCGTGGTTTTGGAGAGCCATAAAAGTGGGAAAATAGAGGGATAAGGATATGATGGCTTGGGTGGGGTCTAACGCCCTTCTGCCAGTCTGGGATCGCAGACACAGTCTGTGCCTCCTGGGATTACACAGTGAGCCTTGCTGGTGGCTGAAAATGGGGCACATGGACATTTGTCACTCTTAGGTGCTTAATCAGGTGCATGGCAGGATACTGAGTGATGCACTTCCCTGCAAACCTGGTTCCTGACAATTATTCACCATTTAAATGGGCAATGTTGACTGTAGCATTGCCAAGGAGGCTTATAAAATCCACAGATAATTTTATGAGATTTGTTTTTATAAAGCAGTTAAAGCAGATAAGCAAATCAAACTAATTAAAGCTCTGTCAATATTTGCACAGAGATGTGTGATGTCAAGTGGAATTTGTACTACCTGTGTGACTTCAGAATTCTCCAGATTTTAGAAGGATGACACAGAATATGCACACACTCACCCAATAAATTGAGGGCTCTCAATCTCACAGAGTGACCTTGGGCAGCATCCTGACTTAAGGGGGGAGACCCCAACAGTTCTTCTCTGAGGACAACTGACTCCACTGCCTGTCTGCCCACCAAGGCTCCATCTCTTACCTGTCCTCAGATGGCCCCAATAAACCTTGCTGAGGTGTGACCTTCAGCCCCTCCACAGCACCAGCAGGTGCAATGGTTAGTGCTACACACCTGAATCCAGCCATGGCACAGCTGAGGTCAGTCCCAGGTCTGGAGGGCTGCTGGAGATGGTGCACCTGCCATGAGCACCCGGTGCAGTTTATCCTTAACTGGAATGAACACCTGCAAAAGGAGGAGTAGGGAAAACACAGGGACAGCCTAGAAGCTTTCTCAGTGGACCATCAGCCAGGGCTGAGCAGCACAAGTAGGGTCTCTGTTTTCCAGCAGACTATTTCACTGCACCATCATTGCCAAAAAAGGGGAAAAAATTGATACTCAGGAAAAGTTAGGTTGGCCCGTACGGGGATCGAACCCGCGACCTTGGCGTTATTAGCACCACGCTCTAACCGACTGAGCTAACCGGCCGTGCTGCTGGAGCCCTCCCGCCGCCACCTGGTGGCCCGGCGACAGCTCCGCCGCCCGAGAAAAGGGAACAAAAAACAGATCCTAGCAGAGGATGGTTTCGATCCATCGACCTCTGGGTTATGGGCCCAGCACGCTTCCGCTGCGCCACTCTGCTACCTGCCCTGCATCTCCTGCACAACTACATAATGTCGTCTGTAATTCCACCCCGTTCTGCAATCCCAGCGGTACCAACAGCCTGTGCGGGGCGACGGGGACACCGCAAAACGGGAGACACCGATGAACGCACTGTGGCGCCCCACACGCTGTTACAGCTCTGACCTCCTCCCGGGAACCACAGGCTAAGTCCTCACCGTGCTGCTGAAAGCACAACAGACACAAAGCCCATCTGGTATCTTCTGCTTTTTGGCTTGCCTGGTAGGAGCCACCATTCACCTGTGGTAAAAACCACCCATCCATCAGATTTTAAGAAAACAGGCAAGCATCTTATGGGGAACATATAAGAAGCCAGGTGGGTGGATTTTTGCAGAAGTTTCTCACAAATTCAGGAGCATGGTTCCCCAAACTGCTGTCAGTGGGAGATATAGAGATTTTGGAAAAAACCTAGATGAGAACATAAAGCCTGGGACTGGGGCTACCCAGCACATCACACACCTTGTGTCTGCCTTGGACAGCACTGCTGTGTTCACAGCAGCCCTGTGGCAGCAGAAAAAGAGGATGTGCTGTCAGCACTGCTGAGGGTGTCACCCATGTGCTTACCCTTGCTCTAGTTCTGCATTTCTATACATACAACTGGTTGTTCTAGTTTTTGCTTTTTTGTCAAAATGAAACAATGAACACCTGCAGTTCCTCTTCATATTGAGATGATTTGGAGGTTTTTTGCCATAGCTGTGAACCATTGCTCCATCATCCTCCCTTGGGCCTCCAGGGCTCCTGGCCTCTGCTTTCCCTTCAGAGGATTCCTGCAAGGTGTGGTGCATGTATGTCCTTGCCTGGGTGGTGTGGGTGGAAGTGTTTTGATTTGCCATACAGATCTATTCCCTAAAGCATCTGGCTGGCAGTTTACAGGACAAAAGTGCATAAGCTAATTAAGAATTATTTTTCAAATCTTTATGCTCAGTCTGAGCATACACAAATGCAGTTATGATAGCCAAAGCTAAATGGAATTGCATCTGGTCAGGGATGTCCAAGACAACAAGGAGGGTTTCTGAAAGTACCCACATGACAAAAGGCACACACAACCCATTGGTGAATGAGCTGGAGAACTTGGAGAGGCAGGACATGGAAGAGGCTGATACACTGAATGACTCCTTTGCCTTGGTCTTCACTAGCAAACCAAGCTTCAGGAATCCCAGGCTCAAAAGGTGAGAGGGATTCTGGGGTAAGGATGGTGCATCCTTGGTGAAAGAAGATTAGGTCAGGGAATAACAGACATACGTAACGTATAGAATCAAAGAATTATGGAAACATGGAATGGTTTGGGTTGGAAGGGACCTTAAAGATTATCTAGTTCCAATCCCCCTGTCCATGAACCTGCCCATGAACCCATGAGTGCTGACAGCACAGGCTGATGTCATTGATTCAATACTTTGAATGATCATGGTGACAGGGAGAGATGCCTGAGGACTAAAACAAGGCAAAAGATTCCTGTCTTTGAAAAGGGTAAGAGGCCCCAGAGAGCTACAGGCTGGTCAGCCTCACCTTGGTCCCTAGGAAAGTGAGGGAGTATCTAAATTGCAAGCAGCCCTAATAAGAACAGCAGCCCTACATAAGGGTTGGTGACATAGGGTGTCTGAGACATGCAGTCATGATTGTTAACCAGGTCATTCCAAATGAAATTCCCACATGTACCATAGTTTGTATTCAAGAAAGAGCCCTACATAGAAAATTACTGTGTATTATAAACACAGACATTGATTGTATGTACCAGCATCCCCTCTGAAGGGGAATGACAAAGCATTTGTCATTTATCAAAGCTGGCACTGCAGAGATGGAAAAGGTGGAGGATGGAGAGCAATTTCACCCCAATGTCACATCTAGACATTTTATAAAGAACAGGCCTCCTCCCACCATACCCCCAAACTGCTTAACTGGCCTCATGAAGTGCAGTTCCTGCCTGGATCCCCACCTCGGCACTGCCAGTCTTCATCACTAACACAACACAGCAGCAGCTTCTCTTGCCAGGTGCAACAGCTGCAGCAGCAACCCTGCAAATCCCTCTCATGTGGCTCCTGTACCAAGAG